GAAGGATGTGGGCGGCGGGTCGGGGGGGGGGGCTCGCGGTTAATGCAAATATCAACTAATCCATTTGGGAGTTTCCTCTATTTTGAACTTGTTTCTTTCTCTAGATTTATCAACAGTTCATTCTTAATATAATTTTAATATTTGCTATCTCTCGACTTAAGTGTAATGCCAATCAATAAGATTTATCTTGATTAATTAAATTATTTTTCTATAACACTTACTGTCAGTAAGTGGAACAGAAATAATAATACCATTACCAGTACCAATCCATAGACGACGACAAGCTATCGTCAATGCACTAATATGAACAAAATAGAGACCAGTTTTTTCTGTTGCTAAAAAAAAGAACAAAATATGAATATAAATATTATGGGAAAAAGAAGCTTACTAATCATTTTTTCAACGTATGGTTGTACATCAACATCTTGTAAATGTTGATATGTGTGTGCATGATATAATTGTAAAGTACTTGATAAACGTATTGACATCCAGACACCATCACCAGACCAAGTCATATGTTGAACAGTATGCTCAGATCGTGAATGAACATCAAATTGTTTCTAATTGATCACAAAAAAGAAGACATTTTTAATTGAAATCATAAAAAAACCGACGCTAAACATACTCGAACTTCTAATGTTTGTGTATGAATAACATAAACTCGATTAGCTACACCACACCATATTGTTTCTCCAACATTAATCATACATCGTACTGATTCTCGGCTTTTACCAGTTACAATTAAATGAATATTATTTAAATTCCATGTTCCATCTTTAAATTAAAACGAAAATTACATTTATTGTTTTTTAGGTTTTAGATTTTTTTTAATACCCGTATTACGATGAAATACAATAATTTTTTCATTAGCTAGTGCAACAAATACTCGACCACGAACATGACTAATAAAATATGAAATAAATTATTTAATTTTTTTTCTTAGAATTATTTTCTTACACAATACTATAAATAGCATGTCGAAGCCAAACTTTTTCAATTGTTTTTCGATGTTCACTTATAGCTGAATGAATATATAACCATCCATCACCTGATCCTAACCAAACAGTTGGATATTTCGTTGAACAAATTATTTTATCTTCACTTCCAGCTAAAGAAAAAAAAACAAATATTCACATATAATGTTTCTTAACATTTATAATTACAAATTTAATTTCGATTTTTTTTTCGTGATGGCAACTGGCACAAAAAATCCAAATAGTCACTTACATAGAGAAATTTATTTCCGACAAAGATTAGAAAAAAAAACAAAAGTCTCACTGTATTGTAGAGCTGGTCAGATTGATATCGGATCCGACAAGCTCTACTGCACTCTCAAAATTCAAGATCTTTTGAAAATCTAATACTTGATTTCTCATCAGGTAAAACTTCAAAGTAAACGTTTTTTTTCTTGATTACACAGAGTGATAAAGCAACTGATTCTCTAGGAAAGGGAGGAAAAAAAGCCTTTCTATGCTTCTTAAAATTGATGTAACTCAATGACAAAATATTGTACAGAGCTCGAAGATATCTCTTCTTCTAGAAAATGACTTGTTCTATCATCGTGTATAATCAAAAGAAACTTTTAAGTTCTCAGTACTATTGGATCTTCTAGAAATCCTAAATTTTAAGAATACAGTGAAGATTTTATTTTCCTTAAATCTTTGTTAGAAACAAATTTCTCTATCCAAATCACTATGACGATTCTATATGGTACTTACCATTACGGAAAACAAAATAAATCGAAATTAAATCTAATCAATTTTTTTGTGGCACTGTGAAATCAAATTTGTCAAAAAAAAAAAGAGAAATAATTAGAGCAGCATAAAAAAACACAGACAATGAGCGTTACTATCATTTCGACGAACAAAACCTGACCAGGATAAAAATGTTCTCGATGTAGAATACGATCTATTTTCTTTATTTTTCTTTTCTTCTATTAAAATACATATCTATTGAATAGATATTTTATTAATTAAGTACTAACGTTGACGAGCTAATTCAGATAAAACTTGTTCAGATGCTTTTAATTCAAGTGGAATTGTTTCTGTAGTATTTGGACGATCTAGAAAAGCAAAAAACGCACAATTTTTATTCATCGATTTTAAAAAGAAGACCGAAATCTTACTTCCACCTATAGAAAGCGATGCAACAGTACAAGGTGTTATTTTTACATCTAAACAAATAATTGTTTTTTTTTTTTTTTTTAAATAAAATTTTGTCATTGAATATTACCACTAGCTAATGCTGTATCAGCTTCAAATAAAGTCCATTTTGAATCATCAAATGGTGAATAATCCGTACTTGATGATCCTGTAGAAATTTATTAAACTAAATATATATAAGCAAAAAAAATTCTTTTTTGTTTTACCTGGAACGCTACCCATTGTATAAACAACAGTATTTCCTAATGTAAATGTATCAATAATTTTTTCAGCTTTATTTGAATCAATAATTGTAATCATAGCTGTATCATTTGATTTAGCAGCAATCCAAACAATTGATGATAATTTTAAATATTGTTCATCAATCATTTGATGATATGATTCAATTAATTGTTTATTTAATTGATCAACAGATGTTTCATTTGTTGTTGATGTATCATCAGTAGTTAACGATGAACCATCGAGATCAATACCAATAGCACACCATATCTAAATAAATTTAAAGTTAAAAAGAAACAAAAAGAAAACTTTTTTTTTTTTGAAATACTTGTGTAGTATCACTGCTATTAAATATTGGTCGACAATAAACCGGAACAGGTACATTAATTTGAACTTTACCATTTATTTCAGATAATTTTAATTGATTTTTTGATGATAAACTCCAACCATATGCTTGAAGACGATTGTCATCATTGATTAATATTGAACTATTTTGACGAGTTGATGATGATTGTTTTGGCATATCAACAATTGACGTACTTAATTAGACAAAATAGAAAGAATAATTTTTATAGATCTGAGCAAAACGATTTGTTAACGACGTGACTTTACAAAATTAAAACACATGTATCTCAGGATAGGAAACTTTTCTAGAGCTAATTTTTATGTGAGACATGTATATTAAGTTACTCTAGATAAACTAAAAAAAATTAGCACGAGAAATCTTTCTTTGAAGGAATTATCAGTAAATAACTATCGTTAAATGACATTGACTTTCATTTTATGTATCAACAAATATTCTGAAGTTTTCGAATTTTGTTCTCATAAGAAGAGAGAGAGAGAAAGATTTGCTAATCAACTGATGGAACCAACATTTTTCCATATGTCTATGCTACAATAGAACAATAATCCTTGTAAATAATCAAATGACCTCTATCGGAATCTTTATCATTTAAAAATATTTAAAAAAAATCAAACCTATTTGATATCGATCGTTCTAATGGATGAGTTTCATCTGTGGTATTTTCTTGTTTATTGATGATTGGTGCTATTTGATCATTCGTTGAACTACGTTTAACTGTTGTAGGAAGTGTAGATAGATTAGTTGTAGCTGTACGTTTAGGTGGAATATCTTTAACACCAGCACCAAATAATCCAGAGAAACTAGAATATTCAATGGAAATAAGAAAAACAAAACAAATACCCATGTGTTTATTCTAATAAAATCATAGTTGTTCATGATATTATTTTTTATTCTTACAACTCAGAAATGTGTGTTGTACCCTCTCTTATATCATTCTGTATAGCACCAGCATGTGAAACGAAAACATTTGTGGGTAGCCAATTATTACTGAATCTACTCCACAAAGATTTTGATGTAGTTTTAGAAGCATTTGTTGATGGTGAAGATAAAGAATTTTGTTGTACTATTTGTTGATAACGTATTTTTGTTTGTGTACCTTTGCTTTTCATCGGAATTTTCTATAAGGAAAAAAAGGTGTCCATTCCGAAGTGTTGAATTCTGCTTTCGTTTCGTCATAAGCTCGGTCATTTCATGCATATATTAGTAAATATCTAATAAAATGAAAAATGTACCGAACGGATAGATAGAATGCGAGAATCGTTTTCTTTAACGATTAAAGGTACAACACAAATTTCTAATTTCATTATAAAAATCTTTTCTTTTTTCTTATTTTAACTCACAGTTTCCAAAATGTTGTTCTTTTCTTGTTTTGTGTCTGATCAAATGTATTATCATTCATTGTAGATGATGGATGCGTTTGTTCATGTTTAGATGCACGTAAAGCATCTTGCCAATGAATAGCTTCTTCAAGTTCAAATAAACGTTGTTTGTACTGATTACGTTCAAGAAGAACACGTTGCATTTCAACTCGAGTAAAACGCTTTCTATCCGCCATCGGTACATCTTCCTGATAGAATATAATATATTATTAAAAAAAACATAATTTATTACATAAATCTCACAGCAATGGTCTAAATAAATCTAATTATCCATTGATTATAGAGCAGCAAAAAGATCAAATATGTTTTTTAAAATAAACTTACATCCCAAAGTAACTCAAGAATCTATTAGAGAGCATTATTATGTTAAGTAATCATGCAAATTCGCTTCTTTTTGTTTTTTCATGCTTATAAAGACTTTTTTAAAATCTTACCTCTTCTTCTTTTTTCTTTTTTTCAAGTTCTTCACGTGTTTTACGAAGTTCATCTTCAACTTCAGTTATTCTATAATATGAAATTTGTTTTTTTTGTTATTCGAAAAATCTTCTTGTTTTTCTTTTCTATCTACCTCGATTGTAATCGACTTTTAACTGTTTGTAATGAACTAACTTCTTCTCGAAGAATTTCTTGTTCACTAAAAATAAAATATATTATTTATGAAATATATATATATATATATTAAACGATTCTATTTTACTTCGTTAATTCTTCAATTTTTACTAATAAATCATCTTTAAGTACATTCAATGCATTCCTATTCAAATAAAAACAATAGAATATTTTTCTTGTCATTATTTCTAGTTTTAAATACTTTGTTTCAAGAAGTTCATTATTTTCTTTAATTAAATTTGATACTTCTTTTGTCATACCTAAATCATGGAAAACAAAATATTATAGCTAATATGTACTATTTAAAAACAAAATAACAATATTAGTATAAGATTCATCCAAGCGTTAATAAATAAAAAGACACAAACAAGAAACTTTCTATGTCCCATTTTACAACAAGAAATTCTCACCGTAAAAACTTTGTCGAACTGAATAAGAATTAAAAACATAAGAGATAAATATAGAAAAACTGAAAACAAAAAAAATTCAAATAATGAATTTCTATTTACCAAATAAATCCGCTGATGAATCGACATCTGATATATCAATATTTTCATTTTGTGTTTCTTTATAAAAAACTTCTGAATTTTTCCTACAAAACAAAATTCAAATAGAATTTCATCGAAATAAATACTTCGAACTTACACATCATTTGCTGACATATCATCATCATCATCATCACTAGCTGCTACATCTATATAAAAATCAATTCATTTGTAAATTAAATTAATTAATTTAGAAAAACAAATAAACAAAATCAAAAATTTTTTGTTTTAACATGCACATGCAAAATAATCTTTTTATTATTATTATCATGATTATTATATCCCTTCTTAAACTGTTTTGATTCAGATCACCTGCAGTATTGTTTGTCTGTTCGAATTCATCTTCATTAACGAAGAATTGCTGTTCATCAAATGGTTCCGATAGCAGATTGAGACTTCGAAGTTTCGAGAATATTCCTACATAGCATGCAACATAGACAATACACAAACAAACAAAATGCAAATATATTATCAGATGTAAGGAGGAAAAAAAACAACGAAATTTACAATAGAATGCATACAAATAAGCAAAAGCACAAGCAGCATATAAATTCAGTTAAATCGGGAAATAAGAAAAAAAACGATACCCCCAACTTGAATTATGTATTATTTTATTATTCTCTCATGCGTTTATTGATTGGGGATTAAAAATAAGAAAAGCTATGTATAGTAGTTGGAATTATTGCCAGTCGAAATAAAACTGCCAAATACATGCTGCTGCTGCTGTTTTGGAAAGACTGTCTCTTACCACGTTTATATTTTTCAAAATAAGTATCATCAAAATCTAGATTAAATAATAAAATCTCGATTTCTGTCTTATTGGTTTTTTTTTAGTGAAAAGAGACAAAAAAAACAAAAAGAAAACTAGAAACTGGATTTGCTTCTCATTTTAACTCAGCAATGGCATTTTTTTTGATTTAATCATACGAGCACATTTTAAAAAAGACAAACATTTAGACAACATGAATTTTTACAATAGCTAGCCGACCTGATGCAAATTCTTTTAGAGACGTGTCATCAGACATTTTTGACGAATTTGTTATTGATATTGCTGATGTAGATTTAGCCGATTTAGCTGAAAATATTTATGCGTATTACAAAATCATGCACTAGTCAAATACAAGTAAAGTTTTTATTTTTTTTTTTAATTTTTGCATATCATACATCCTTAGGACAAAAAAACGAATCCGTTTACTTACAACTATTTGGCCAATTCTCTACCCAATCACCATGAAAAACTAAGTTTGAATATGGAATTTTTTTTCTGAATTTTAGGTTTTATTTTGTGTGAGGGAGGGAAAAGGGTTTGGATGAAAAAAGAAGAAAAAAGGATATATACCTGTATTTACAGCCGCATCATTACTGGCCATTGATTCTGTTTGAGTATGTTTACCATCAGCAGCTTCAAGTTCAGAACGAAAATTAACTCCAGTAGTTGGTTGCTTAAAAGTTCTATTATGAAAAAAATAAACACTGATGAATTAATCTATTAAAGAATTTAATAAAAATTTACTGGAAAGACAGATCTGGACGTGATGGAGTTATTTCATCGGTTAATGTTTCATTAGAAGATGGTTGTTTATTGTCTAATTGAGATTGTTGTTGTGATGTTAATGGAAGATTACCTCTAAAATATTTATAAAAATAATTTTTATAGGGAAAAATACGCTTTTATTCGAATAGGAGCACTTGTCCAGTTTGAAAATGGATAAATCAGTATGTGAATACGTAGCAATCTGTATAGTAGCCATTACAATAAATGCCTAGGCATTGATAAGATAGAATATCAATCATCACTCAGTAATAAGATCTATTCGATCCAAAATCTTTGGACCTGAATCTTAAATTTATTTTTAGCGTGAGTCTTCAAATCCCTCCGAAGATACAGGATGCTTTTTATTGATTATTTGTATTCTGTGAATAACATACTCTACACATTTCTCAGATAACCTTTTAATAATCAAGTCATAAGTGATTGTTACTTTTAGAGTATAACTGATTAGGTCGGTCTCGAACTTCACCAGAGCTGGGACCAACTCGATTAGGGAACTGCAAAGTGGTCCCGGTCCCAGTCCCGGCGGGACCGGGACTAAAAATCTTTCACATTGGTTCCGGTCAGTTTTTATGCAATATATTTTCACATTTATTATTTTGACATGATTTAAGATCTGTAAATCAGATATTTTTATTTGCTATTTCTATAAAAGTCATTACTGATTACGAGTCTGTTTGCAAGAATCTGAGTTTTCCAATTGCACAGGTTTTTGAATATATATAAAACAACCAACACAACACTATATACGTAAGTTTAATTTGTTTATTCTTTGATGATTCCGTTATTGAAGTCTTATCAGATAATAGTAAATAGATATGTATCGCCGTTTTTTTTTTTTTTTTTGACAATCGTAATGACTACTCAGTATAAATAATCAATTCGATAATAAATCCATTAGGNACGTAAGTTTAATTTGTTCATTCTTTGATGATTCCTTTATTGAAGTCTTATCAGATAATAGTAAATAGATATGTATCGCCGTTTATTTTTTTTTTTTTTGACAATCGTAATGACTACTCAGTATAAATAATCAATTCGATAATAAATCCATTAGGTAGAGCAGTAGATATAAAAGAAGAGAGAAATAAGTAAATGACTGCTACGAAGTATATGAGAATTTTAACAAAATTCAATGGTTATTTTTTTTTATTCGAGCTTTCAGTGAAATTCTTGCACTTTAACACTGGATATAAAAGAATTTTCGTACTGTTAACGAATCAAAATCATTCATGTCAATTTTATGTATTCATAAAAGTACACAGATCGTAAAAAAAGTTGCTCGATTTTAGAAATGAAACCATTGTCAAAGACCGGGACCGGGACTAAAAAAAAGTGATTTTGCAGTTCCCTAAACTCGATAGACTCTACACAGTACTCGATGCTAGAATAATAAAATTTTTATTTAGATGAATTTCAGTCGTTCGAACTATTGAATTTCGTCTCAAGTACTTCTTATTTGAAAAAGCAACAAACAAAACTAACCGAGAACGTGGAACATTATGTGTCGCAGATAATTGATCTACTCGATCAGTTCCATATAAAATTTTCGTTCTTTCCATATAATCACAATGAGCTTTGAATAACTAAATATATAATTAAAATAAATTCGTAATTTTCCTTTTTTTTCCTATTTCTCATACTTCACAATATCGTTCATGTAATCGTTTATATTCAGTTTTCATTTCGTTTTCTTTTTCTTCTAAACGTGCAACATGATCTGATGCATTTCGTGCTTTTATTTCAAATATTTTGACAATAGATTCAAGACTTTGTAATTTTTCATCATTTTCACGTTTCATTTCTTCAAGATGATCTTCAACTTGAAGATAACGCTAATAAATCAAACATGAAAATTAAAAAAAATCTGTTTTTGTTAAATATTAAATCAAAAATTTACCTGTTGATATTCTTTATGAAAAGTTTTCTCGCGTTCATATTGTTGAAATAATTGTTCATTCTGCTCTTTTAATGATTCAATTTCAAGTTTACTAACTTCACGTTCATTTAGAGCACTATCAAGTGATTCTAAAAAATAATAAAAAAAATTTTACCGTTTTTTTTCTAAATTCTATTCAACAAACCTAATGTTGATATCATAACAGGCATTAAATCTTTTACACTATTTTCACCAAAATTTTTTATAATACGTTCTAATTCATTATAAACATTACTTGCTAATGTTGTTACAGTTTCTGACAATAATGTATGACTTTCTTCACTTGCTGCTGATGATGATAATTCATGTTCATTAGAATTATTTTGATCGGAAGTTTTCAAACGTGTACGATTTGGTGAAAATATTGGTTTTGCTATCGTAGATTCTGAAGACATTTTTTTATTTTTTAAGTAAGATTTCGTTTCATCTACGAAGAAATATTAAATAAATACAAAACAAACTCAATTTCGTTGCTTAAATTTGATCGATTCAATCTCATTTGACCTCGCATAACAAAATGAATCATTTCATATTGATTGGGATAAACTATTGGAGTTGAAAATTATTTTTAGAATTCTAACAATAATAATATTAATTGTTGAGAATAATAAAAGAAGTTGAAGAAAGAATTAAAAAACATAGTTTTATCTAATAAAAATCGTCTTTATAGATGGCGCTATTTTCTTGTTTGATTATGTATATTACTGAAAACAATTATCTTTAGCTTAAGAGTAAGTAATTATTTTGAGATTAATTCAAAGAAGTTTCAGAAAATGAATCAATAATAAAGAATGATGAAAATGAAAGAGTACTCTTTTTTTTCAAAAGATCTATATTTGATTCGTAAGAAAAAAAGTAACATACTCAATTTGTCTGATGGAAAATGACGGCATCAATTTTAAATCTTATTCTTCTTCAATATTTTATTCATGTTCGATAAAAAATTCCGATTAAATATACATATATATATATATATATACATTGGAATAATGCTTTTTGATATTACATTCAAACCAGTGTATGCAAGGTATTCATACAAAAGAACGGCCGCTTCTTAAAGGAATAACATGTAGAAGATTTTGATGTTTATTAATATTGATTGTTATGAATTATATGACGCCTTCATAAGTAATAAAATTTTAAGTATGATGCATGAACTAAACAGTTGATTATGCAGTAAACAGAATGACAAGCTTGTCTTTAAAGATCTCTAGAGAGAAACAACAGCCTACAATGTAAATTTCTCTAATGAGTTTAAATATTAACCGTGACAAATGAAAATAATAATATTTCCTCTTTAAAATTCTTCTTTTTTGCCTGCTATATTAATGGAATTGTTTTATTACTAGTGTCCTGCGAAAACGATATTAAAAAATGAGTACTTCCGAAAATTATTTTTTTTTATATATATACTCTCCAAATTTTGCTCTTTGAAACAAAAAAAATGTCGAAATCAATCTACCGATACAAGGCTAAGAAATAGATTCTACATTCCATTCCAAAATTTTTACATCGCTAACTAAATAAAAGAAAAATAACAAATACCTATCAACAAAAATTAGACAAGTTCATTCATTATATATTAAATTGTTATTCAATTATTACAACTATTATTTTCATAGTAATGATCATCTTCGAAAGGGTTATGATTCAAATTATGTCTGATTTATGTATACGCCTGTGGTGAGATGAAAGATCTAAATTCTATTTAGCGAATCATTAAAGAATTGTGCATCGTTGATAGTTAACTGAGAATGATACACGATTTGATGAACTTAGGCTATGATTAGGTGAACTTCTATTCGATGTTTGTTCATGATGATTTTCAAATAAATATGGTTTCGGTTGAATAGCATGGCATAGAATATCAGAAATTAGTTTACTATCAGTGAATTCAATAATTGTTTGAGCATAATTTTCGCGCCAAATATAACGCCAAATTTCCATTTGAATAGCCCCATTTAAAGTTTCGAGTTCATTAGGAACAATATCTTATTAAACAAAACAAAAAAATAAAAGAAACGATTATATATAAATATATAGTGCATTGATATTCTGTTGTTTTTTGTTTTACCTTTTAATAGCAGGATATTTGGCATACAATTAGCGCAAATATTGACAATTGTATAACAACTCCATGCAACTAACTTTGAATGCTCATTTATATCATCAAGTCCACGACCAGCATGTGGCATTGAGTTTTTCATTATTTCAAATAATTTTGGTATGATATCAATTTCATTTAACTGAGAAAAAAAATCAATGAAGATTGTTATTTAAACTGAAAATAGGCTATTCTGCTATTGAGGAAATAAGATAATATCAATTCTAAATATTGAGCTATTTGAATCTTACTTCAACAATTATACGAAATAGAATTAACTTACATAAAATTTTGTAGCTGAATAACTACTTTTAAAGGAAGGAAAACAAACAAATATTTCTGATATGTAGAAAATAATCATCATATTTTGCTGTAATAAAATAGGAAAATATTCTTTTGTGTAGCATTCTAAAAAGCTACGGGAATAAAAGACTTTTTTTTCTGTCGAATCATTGCGACGCTTTCAATCAGAGAACATTACATGGAGGTTGGCTTCGTTCTGGTAGGCCAAATGACTCTCCTGCATCTGGTTTGAAGGACGACCTTTCATAGCATTGTCAACAAGGAAAAACTCGTATGTATATGAGTATGATGTTAAATATCATAAGCACACTATTTATGCAAAAGTCATTAACAATATAATCATGATAATAAACCTTATAACATGTTTTCTAGTAAAGATGAAATGATCAATAAAACAATATTTGACATCCATCGAGTGAACAAAATAATAATAAAAAAAGGCATAAAAATACAGGATTAAAATTTAATCAATATAAACAGATGGACAACGAGAAGAAATAAGTTTTCTTTTGATTACTTTTTCTTTAGTTTCTCGTATGAATAAATAAATAATATAGTATCAATTTGATTTGCTGATACATGTATCGGTCTTTGATTAAATGGTAATTCAACTAAGCTAAATAATCTTTTCATCGGAGCACTAGTCGTTGATATGGCATATACTCTTCTAGCTACTATTGATAATAATCGAAAAATCATGAATATTTCCACTACTATGCTAGAATTGCATTGGATAACGATCAATCAGTTGACTTGGGTGTTCTGTGTCCTATGACGTTCTCTACCTTCAATCGACAAAAAAACCCTTATTGAATCAATAGGAATTACTTTCATTTGAAAACTAAGATTATCAATTGTTGTTTCTGCAATAGCAATCATAGCAGCCAAACGCATTCGTAAATCTTGATGAGATAATGCTCGAACGAGTAATTTTGAATAGAGTTGTGTTGAATTTTTTACTTGCATATGAGCTATATATGATCATTTAAAATAAATAAATATTGAGTAATATTTCAAGATTTTATTTATTAAACTATACCACAACAAAGTGAATGACCAATTGCAACAATAGCTTTGATTTTTTCTTCAATTGTTATTGATTCATCTTCATCTTGAATTATTTTAGATAAAGAGAGAAGAACAGCTCTTGCTTGATCATCCATCGATTCATAAACATTAAGAATAAGATCATGAATTTCATTGATTTCTTCTTCAGAATTTGGTTTTCTTCGCCGTAAACGAAACCATTCAAGCCATGAGTTTTTCTATTTACAAAAAAGTAATCATTATAAAAAAAGAATTCTTTTTTTAAATTAAGAAATGCCATACTTTTTCATATGGCGTAGGCAATGTAATACCACTATCATCATACAGAAAACTCAAATTCATCTTAATATATTCCACGTTTTAATAAATCTTATTAATTATTTTCTATTCAATAAACATCTAGTCAATCGAAAGAAAAAAATATAATCTTTTGCTCTTTTCAGCTGCATAGAAAAACAACAATTCTTTAATGAAAATCTTCTACTTAATTATATTGATTTCATCGCATCGTTATTCAACTCGGTGTATCTGTGTAATGCTCTCCTAATACTCTGTATATCTGAACCATAAATTCTTTGAATGTAATCGGTAATTATTAACTTTGAGAGGATCAATACAACTAAAATAAAAAACATGATTTATTACTCTTCTTTCTCCTATAATTTATCATATGTATTAACTGCTATCATGTATGCAAAGCTTATCTATCTTCAAACAATACAATTGTGTAATTTTATTTTTGCAACGATTTTAGATTTCATTTATGTGCACTTGACTTTTTTTATTTTTCACTGATTTTCTATTGTTGCAAAAGAATGTGTAAAGACAAACTCATAGATTTTAAAAATATAATGTAAATATTTAAATGAAAATAGGATACAAGAAATAAATAATAAATTTTCAGAAATGATCTCGATATTTATTTTACAACATTTAGAAAAATAAAAACATGTGATTTAAATCTATATTGATCTTTACCGTAGTTACAAAAATCTTATATTCGTGTTCTGTGAATACACAGTAATCAAATAATTGCATGAATATGGTCTAGTTTTTTTTGTTTAAACATAACAAAGAAAACGTGCGTCACAATGTTTATGTATCTACTCTCTATCTTAATCTATGATTTGCTTCAGTCGAATCGATAATTTTTTCATTATTCACTCCCCTTTTTGCTGCGGTAAATATTTTCTATTCTTGTATTATTCGATTTTTCAATTTTGATTTATTTTTAAATCTTTCTCTTTTCAGTTTTTTCTTAATTGCACTCCAAACTGACCCGATTCAACAAATACCAGCAACTTTTGCATTACCAACTGCAAGATCAATATGATCATCGAATAAAAATTCAATAGTATTCGTCACAACTGTTATTTCGATGTTTACTACCCAGACCATCTTGAAAAATCGATGTCAAATTGTTGATAACCACGTGAATAAATGACACAAAACGAAACACTAAAAGTTATTCATTATGAAAGGTTGATTGAATAACCAGAATTTTTTCATCCGTACCCTTTGTTCAAATAATTCAAAAAAATCTTATAAATTTTATGTTGTTTGCATCTCTGTGATAATAAGAGGCAGAAAGCTCAAAATTCTAGCATACAGTAGATTTAGATGTCTATAAATATCAGTCTATTCAACTGAAAAAACGCATAAGAAAAGAATATTAGTTGAAGAAGATCAAAACTTATTAAGTACACTTTATATATATTGTATTAAAATAATTGTAAAATTATTGCATGTGAAAGACGTTTGCAGAACTATTAGTTCAACACCAAATGCCTGCAAAAAAAAGTTCTTGCATAGTTTTTTCTAAAAAAGACTGAGTAAGTTGATGGTTCTTACTACCGAGCTGTTCTGCAATTGTAAAAAAAAGTTTTTTGAATTGTTTTCGCTGCTAAATTTCTACTATCTGAAAGGTTTGGAAAAAATAAAGCAAAAAGAATTCAGTGCATGCATAATTTTTGGCGATGGTAGCTGGTATTCTTGCAAACTTTTTTAATAAAAGAGTTATGAATAGATCTAATAAATTTTATCAAAGTTGTATTGATACAGTTTTGGATATGCTCCATTTTGTTGTATTTTATTTCATTTTGGATCCATTCATGTAACTCAAAATAATTCAGAAATATAGACTTTTCAAATTGAAAAACGTTGCAAGAACTTTTTAAGAGATGTTTGGTTTTGACTTCTCGTCCTCATCAGGTTGATTCTTGAAAAATATGTCTGATAGAAAATTTGTAGTTCAGACATTGCTCTTTCTAACAAAAAAAATATTTTCTTGACTTAAAAATTGGTAATATGGCAATACAGAGTTTGATATTTTTTCGAAGACTTTGCATTGCAAAATAGATTGTAAAGATATCTTTGAAAAACTCATTTTTAAAACTTTTCTTAACAGCATAAAAATACATTTTATTGTTTTATGAAACTTTGGGTAACTAATTAGTTTTCATTTTTTTATTCAGTCATGTGGCTCTTATTAATAGTTTGTAGATGTCATCTAAATATGAAATAAATGTATTTAATCATAACTTTTTTCTTACAGGTCTGTTGCTTGACAACATCAGCTGTAAATGTTTGTTAACAAGTAATCATGTATAGAGAAAACATTGATTCCACTCGTGCTCAATAAAACAAATCAATTGAGTGTTTCGTGTTGGGAAAAAGAAAAAATGTTGTCAACGGAAAAATATGAATTTGATCCTAGTTATCGTGGACAAACAGGATCTAGTATAGGTGTATCTACTGTTGGTTTTCGTTCAAATAAATACAATCCTAATGAATGGCACGAAAATAATTATGCTAAATATTATCAATCATTTACTGATCGTGATTTATCAGAAAAACAACGTTGGCAAGCAACACGAACCGAAAATGAAACACTTTCACTTTCACAACAAACACAAGCTTTATCAACAAAAAAATTACAACAACGGTTTGTACATTCGAATTTGTTTATTACTTTTTAAGAGAAAATAATTTATATGTTTATCATTAAAGATTACATGATATTAATTTTTGGAAATTTGAACTTAATCGTATGATTGAAGATGTACGTAATGAAACTGATTTGTTAATAGCACAAAAGAAACGTTTAACGAATTCATTGGATGCAACTGAAGCTCCACTTCATATTGCAACTGAATGTTTGGCTAATCGTGATCGTCGTTATGGAGAAGATCGTGTTTGTGATGCAGTTGAAGTTGGTTTATTAAAAGAAGTTGAAATTATTAATAATGTACAAAATCTTTTACGTCAAACAATTATGACTGCTGAACAACAAATTAGGTAAACAGAACATTGTGCGTGGTCACAATATTCTATTTTACATCACTTATTATTTGTATGAGATCATCAAAAAAAAAAAACACTGCACCATATCATAGCAAATAAAAGTATGTTGTAATCACATAGTTACTTGAATTTAATAAGAATTTCTACATGATGTATATCCGAGTAAAACTATACATTCTAGACAAAGTCTCTTATGAGTTTCGATACTTATAGCTATAAAGACATTATTGAAAACTCTATTTGGAGTTTGTTTGGAAAGAATGATAGAATTTTTCGCTTCGTTACATACAGTGGTTACCAATATTTTTCAATAAGATTTATTTTCAATTTTTTTCCGCTCCCATAAGTGTTAGAAAGAATCTAAATAGTGACTCGAGCAGAGAAAATGGTTTCTAATAAGAATGTAAGAAAATAATAATTATTATCAGTTTCCCAAAGATAGGGACTTGATGAAACCAAAACTGTAGTTTTTTAATACCTAGAGCACTTAAATATAATATTAGACTAGATAGAACGATAGAGTAAACAATTTTCTACAAAATGAAACATCTCTGAGTTCTGTGCAATGTTTTTAAGCTGAAATATAGCAATCTTACGTAAGGCTCTTCAGTCATTTCTTACTGTTTTCTATAGAAAAACCATTTGTTGACCTTGAGTCAAATTGCTTGATCGCAATCACAAAAACGTCTGCAAGGACTCGGAGGCGTCTCATTCTATGTAATCTTAAGAAAACCATTTTTACGTGTTTCAAATGCTAAAAAACTAGAATTTTGACTTTTTTGGAGTTGCGATCTTTGAGAACTGGAAAATAATTATTATTTCCGAATATTCATGTTAGAAACAATTTTTTCTACTCGAATCACTATATGAACTCTTTCTAGCGCTTACAACAGTGGAAAAACATTGAAAGTAAACTTTGTTGAATAAATTCGATACCTACTGTAAGTCAAACTGTACTTTTCATAATATAATATATTACGTTTTAAGTTTGTTTTTTGAAGAATACTTTAAATAAATAAACTTTCAAATTTGTAAATAAAAATAGTCTAACTTGTATTGTTTAAAACAATGGTTATTGTTTTTTTTCTAAAACCAGAGCAAATCGTAATGCTAAACAAAATCTTGAAATGGATTGGAGTAATAAATGGGAAGCAGCTGTTGCCGATGCTAAAGCAACAAATCGTCGTAATGAAGATGTCGATATAATGTTTTATCCAGGTGTTGCTCGACATTATGACAAGTAAATATAGTCGAATAAAATATTTCTTTTTTTGCATTCGCCATAACTTGATATTATTTTGTATTCAGTCAATCAACACCTGAATCTTGGGCACAAAATTCTCATGATAATATTGTTAATGGTCAAAATCAACTTATGGCATCAATACAATTACGTGCATTGATTGATAGTATACTTAGTGACATTTCACGTGATATGCGAGAACAAGCTGATGTTGTGGAAACAGAATTTGCACGACGTATTTCTGAAATGTCTGATGCAATGCAAAAAATGATTCAGAATAGTCGTGAAGTAATTAACAAAAAGAATTATTAACGCACAAAGATATATCTTGTTTTTTTAAATTTAGACATTAAAAGCTATTGCTGATAATGAGAAGAAAATTGATATGCTTCGTGCTTCAATACGTGCTAAAGAAGCACCACTTAAGGTAGCTCAAACTCGTTTGAATGATCGTCGTGCTCGACCTGGTATTGAATCATGTCATGATCCAGTTCAAGATCAGTAAGCACATTGTTTTTCTTTTTAAATAAAACAAAAATGTAATTATCATCTTTTCTTATTTCAGTTTGATCGGTGAAGTTTATCAACTATCACAATCAGTTGATAATCTTACTGGAGAATTGCGTGAAGCTGAATCAAATTGGAAAAAACTCCGTGATGATCATCAAATGCTTGTGAAAGAAATTGAAATGAAAAAAAATAGTCTTTATATTGATCAACAGAAGAGTATGGCAATTCGAATGCGTTATCCAAGTGTTCAACGACTACTTGGTTATAATGCGTAATAAAATAAACAATTCTTCTATTTAATATATACACATATAAACATTTATAAAACTGTGTGTACGCGTGTGCATTGTATACCTTTTAATTCCATAGAAAAACAAAACATATTCACATACCTTTTTCTATCAAATTAATAATTATATATATTTTTTATTTATTAACAATTATTTCTAACTCTGTGCCTGAAAAATGTTTGTTTGATGACATACTGTACATTAAAAAGATGTACCTAATAGTCAAATGACAATAATCATTATCATCATTGTTTGTCCTTCTATATATGTTCGCTTAGTACATGAAGAACGAATGAAAATCATGACAAAAAGAGACAACATTTTTTGCACTGTTTATTTATTAGATATTTGGAGTGTTTGATTGTTACAAATATTCAAAAGTAAATATTTCTTATTGATCAAATAAACGCAGAAAAGTATTCTATCATTTTCTAAAAAGATATAAGTCATTCTATTTCTATGCATTTATCGATTACTAAAAATATTCGCGATTAGAATCGATTTTAGAGTTAACCTACGACGATCATTCTAATCGTCGGAAACAACTATAAACCGGTTCAATTCTTATCATACATGGTAAAAAACGATGAGCATTGCTCGCTATCTTTTGGACTGTAATCTGACATCCTTGTTTATCAAGCGCTCTGCATCACAAAGTAAACGATGTCCTTTAAGACTGTTTTTATTTTAACAAAAGCGATGGTTAGTATTACAATAATATTCTCGTCGTATATTGGTTTATTTACATGATTTTTTTGCGATATACAGCTTGCTAGATTAAGAACATTCATAAAAGCCATCATACGCTAGGCTACATCTTGTCGATGATTTCTATTATTATGAAGAGTTTTATTTTATAAATAGAATTCGTACACAAGAGGTCAATGCGCAAACACCTTGTTCATAGAATACTTGTGAAAAATGACGGTACAACAAGACAATAATTATATTTGCGAAAGTATGAGATGAGCAAGATGAAGGTTGAAATTTGAATAAATTTAACATTAAATATTTGAAACATGAAAGAAGAGTTATTTAGGGCTTTGCATCAATAGAAAAAAATAATGAAGTTAAAGAAAAGCAAGATTGAATTGTATTTTCATCTAAGTGAAGCGTTTGAGAGAAGCATTCGACTGTAGTTACTTACATTAGTAATTATAAATAAGATCATCAAGATTTATCGATTATAAATCGTCAAAGGTTGTTCAACAATAGTTTTCAGACATGACTATAATTCAGTATAAAAATGCTGTGAAATATCTAGAAGAGCCCATGTAATACAGACCGGACAAAAATTGCTTGTAAATCGTTGACAAACTGCTTGGTATTACGATGGTAATCATGACTACTGTCACGTTAATGTGATGATCATAACAGACATCAATTATCGTTGTATATCTCTGCTTTATGATGCATCGTAAATCATGATTTTGAGGGTAGCCAATTTCTGTTGGTTTTACGTTGCTTACGTATCGTTCTATATGGCATGAATAATCAATAATTAAATAAATATAACATAGAAAAGTAATCTCTCTCTGTTATCTATTCTTATTAACATACATTTTCACACAATTTATTTTTACGTTTATCTCATACTAGTAATAAATATTCAGAAAATACAAGGACATCGTTTTATATTGTTTAATAAAGCAGGAAAAGTGCATTATGCACAATATAGATGTTATACTATTTCTGTCTTGTCGTTTGACTGGTCTTGTCATACTTTCTGAGTCAAGTGAGATACCATACATCAAGTAACCTATTAATCAGCTAATGAAATCGAGAAGTATTATACATCAGATTCATACGATAGATAACTAATGGGTATTTCCATGGGGTCTCTACCACGTTTGCGTCGAGTATTCCCAAATTGCATGAAGCTTTCAGGGTTTGTAGACCATAATGAGGTATTAAAATCCCCAACAGCAGTTTTTTAAAATTCATTAATAAATAAGGACATGTCGAGCATGACATTTTCTATGGTTTTCTATAAAACCACAAAAAAATG